ATACGTGCATATTGGAAGTGAGCGAGAGGAAGAGAGAGAGAGAGAGAGAGAAACTAACAGCCAAATAGGTATACGCATAAGAACATAGAACAGGTCGTGTCTACTGTGAAATATAGTAAATCCAAGGTTATGGCAAAGATCTCTCTCTCTCTCTTTACCAATAGGGATACACACGACATGACTATGCAACCGAATCATGTAAACGAACCGTCATTTTGACAGATAGACAGCATAAAAACATTAGCAAAACCACATTGTGTGTTATTTTTCTGTTTCTTTTTGTACATGAATCTACTTTTACGTTCGAATTATTGATACAATATGTTTTTTTTTTCTCCTTTATTGAATGAATAAAAACACACAATTTTTTTTTAATGTTTTGACAAATTGTTGAATTTTTTTTCTCTTAAAATATGGAATGAATTTTGTACATAAATCAAATTCAAAAGGTAACATTCGTAATGTTTCTATTGGCTGAATTAAAAGACACAATTCGAATACCGCCTGAAACATTCCATCTGAAACTCATCGATGCGGTAAAAGATGAAATCAATCGAAAATTGGCGAATAAGGTAACACATTTTCTTTGAGATTAAGTATAAATTTCCTCTGCGACACATGATTAATTGGTGTTTGGTTTGATTTAAGGTTTTGCTAAACGTTGGTCTATGCATTGCACTCAAAGACGTAATCAAAGTGGGTGATTCAATAATATTGCCCGGCGATGGTGCATCTCATACCGAAATTTTATTCCGTTATATTGTATTTCGTCCCCGTATTGGCGATATCATCACCGGTAAAATAAGAAGCTGCAGCCGCGAAGGCGTTCACGGTTAGTTGATTTTACCACGCTTCCAAACAGTGGACATTTTTTATTTGTGAATATATGCAGAATGTCTACATTGGAAGGGCGCAATTTCCTCTTATTTGCAGTTACATTAGGTTTTTTCGATGATGTTTTAATACCGCCAACGGCTCTTCAACATCCGTCCCGATTTGAAGAGGCTGAACAAGCCTGGGTGTGGGAATATCCCGTGGAAGACGGTTCAACACACGATTTGTATATGGATATCGGTGAAACCATTAAATTTCGCGTATCGGGTGATGTGTTCGAAGAAAGCTCACCGATTGGACCCCCGAGTAGCGACAAACCATCAACATCTAGTCAAAATGATATCAAAACACCATATCGAATACTGGTAAGAGCAAATGACTGATTCAATTTTATTCATTTTTTCGCAATTTTATTTTCCAAATTTAATTAAACCCAAGTTTTTGAACCAAATAGAATTGAAAACGATTTATTGAAGGAACGAATAAAATTAAATGAATATTTTCCAATCTCTTTAAGGGTGCAATAAATGAATCTGGACTGGGCCTACTTTCCTGGTGGAACGAACACAATCAACAAATGGGCGATGATGACGATGATGATGACGCCGGCGAAGAATATGAAGAATAGCGTTTAGGCATTTTGTAAAAATGAAACAAATATATTAATTTACAATCGAGAGAAAAAAAAGGCAAAATTAAAATTTTGTGTGAGATTGGGTTAATTTATTTATTTGTTTTTTTCTTCTTCTTCATCATCAACAGACCCTTGAATTACATAATAAATTGTCTTCATCATTTTCACTGTTCTCTTTGACCTTATCCTGATAAAACGTTTGCATTTTACAATGTTACTTAATTGTTTGTTTGTTCAGATTCTGTAGGTTTTTTTTTGTTTTTTGTTTTTTTTTTTTGCTTTAGTTGGCTGTCCCCTTAAAATTTTCCTATTTTTTCCCCTTAGAATCTAAAAGAGCCGAGCAACAATATAAACATATTTAAAATATTTTACAGTACAACGAACGAACTAATAAACACTAAATCGTTTTCATTAATTTTTGTTTTTTGTTTTTTGTTTCTCATTTATTTCAAATTGGAATCATTTAATGTTTTATCAATCACAACATGGTTCTGAGTCGTGGCAATTGCCATATCTTTGTGTGATTTTTGTTGCTTTTATCATTTGAATGGAGAAATATGAGACAATCACAATGCAAAAAAAAAGACCGAAATATTAAAATGGAAATTAAAAGGAAGTATGTACGACAGCATCGCTGAGGGGCAGCTGTCATAGGGATAATTTGTAGTATACAAATTATATGTAAATCATAGCTTAATATCATAAGGTGTGGTTTATTTCATTTTGTTATTGTTGTTGTTCTTGTCGGTTGAATATTGAGATAACATGACATGACTCAAAAATCGTTTTTCAAATGATTTCAATTAACTTCTTTTATTGGCGGTTAAGCTCATCAGTAGCTAATTTGCAGAAAATGTGATTGCGAAAAATCCAAATCATTTCTTTATGTTTTTCAAACTATGACTTTCCAAAAGGACATGGTTTGATTAGTTTTTCTTCTTCACTAAAAAAACAAAACCACTTTTCATAACACTACCTTTAAATTAATCAATTAAATTTTGGTTTTATTTTATTGACGAAGAAAAATAAAATCAAATATCACTTATTCGAATGCTGTTTTTTTTTATCTAGTGCAATCTAATAAATCTATACATTTTGCGTTGTTTGCATATCATTGCGAAGATCGTCAATCGTTCGAGTATTGTGTGTGTGTCTTTATGTTACAACTCATTTACAAATCTAGTCATTGAATTAAATGAAAAAAAAGAGAGAAATCCGAACGGATTTTGGTTTATATCTCGTTTCTTTGCTCATTTCGTCATAATTTTTGCCCGTTGTGATCGTAATCGTCGGCATCATTATCGTCTGCGAACCAGTTCTTGTTATGGGAACAATGCTGGGTTCATCGTGCAATAATTCTATATTTTATTTTAGTTTTAGGTTTTGGTTACACAGCCTTTACAAAAAACATGTAAAAGAATTTGAACAGATACACCATCATACCACATCAACCAATGAAATAAACAGAACATCACGAGATGAATCTTCTGTCGAGAACGAGAGATGAAAACATTGAACGCTTCATATAATAATCGTTCAATTTTCTACAGCAAACAGATTTCTTTTAAAATAGTTTATTGAAAACGTAAAATATTTTGAGTTTTTTCTCCATGTTTCTTTCATTTCTACTCAGATATTCGCACATCTTCGTAAGTATTGGAATGTTGTGTATTATTTTATTAGAACTTTAAATTTTGTTCTATTTTCAATCATTCCAAACACATTGTGTGTATGGAACCATACACGCCAATTGCATAAATCATGTGACCACGCCATGAAGCATGGTCCTCAAACATGGTTCTTATCGTACCACCTAATCGAGAAAAATTACTTTTTAGGACAGAACAAATGAACCATTGCGACAAACAAATTCCCTCGGGAATATTTTAGTTTTAAAGTGCAACATAAAGTTTTTTTTTCATATGGAGTTGTTGTTGTAAACTCTATATAAAAAAAAATTTCATGTTGCACTTTAAAACTAAAATATTCCCGAGGGAATTTGTCCGTCGCAACGGTTCAAATATGTTTCATAAACGACTAGGGAACTTATTTCAATCCTGAAATTTTGAATCCTCAGTGCAATTCATCGATTGAATGGATATTCCAAGCTGACCGAAGTCTGATCGTTTCTACAATTTTGTTTAAACTCTAACTTGTATTGTTACATCATCAAGTAAGTGTGAGATGTCACGTTTTCTTTTCTTTTATTTTTTTGATGTTTAAATTGTCTTTAGTAATTTTTAAAATAATTAATTCATTGAGTCGGAGTGAGGTTGAAAAATCACTTGACAGTTTCATTTTTGTTTGCTTCAATTTGATCATAAATATCAAAAAAATCATCATGTGAATCAAATGATACAGATTTAAAAAAAACAGATTGAGATAGTATCAATTATTTGCTTGTATAAAATGTGTAGATTTGCACAAAGCTGAGACAGGACAGGAGAGGAGAAAAGAAGCACCAGCCATCAAAACATTATTTAGATTTAAAAGATGTTATAATGTAGTGCATTTATTTCAAAGCTCATAAGCTTATTCGATGCCCATAGCAAATGCAGCAAAAAACTATGCTGGCGGCGGGCGCAAGCTTAGGTAGATAGACAAAAAAAAAAACCATTTCTATCCGCAAAAATGGGAAAACCGTTGGTCATTTTTGAGCTGATTGTAGCCCGCTAGCTGTGTTCAATAAAACTGATTGTTGCGCATACAATGCAATCATTATAAAGTAATCTGAATCGTAGCACGATTGTCAATTCATCTGTTCAGCGCTAAATCGGATGTGTCATTGCACAGGATACGACGTTTCTTATTCACTGAATAATATTCAGTGTAAATTACAAAAGCGAATTAATTCACTGACCATTGGATAAATGGTTTCATTCCTCTTGAACATTTCGAAACGATGCAAGCCATATTAATGAAAAAAAAATTACACGTTCAAAAGCGTTGTAAAATGTCTGTTCAAAAAATGATTTAGCAAAAAGTTAGACTGTTTTTCTCATTTTCTGATTCTATTTGTTGCGTGTGGTCTCAAGCATCGATAAGGAAAAACAAACCAGCTGAAATGTATGAACAAACTAACAACGTAATAAAAACGTTGTGTAATTGAAGAAAAATATCAACATTTGATGGTAATCAAATAAATTTCTCATGAAATGAAATCCTTTGTGAATTCGGCCCAATAAGCGGTGTCTATTTTTCGTTCAGCTATGAAATATTAAGAGATGAAAATAAAACCTTGGTTGGTTTCTAGTGTATTGCATTTGAAACTCCTTGGAAAGTGTCTACGATGATTTTTTTTATACTGTGAATGAAGTATTTGTTGTCAAAACTCGTTAGGTATTGGTTTTTGGTTTTGAAGTCAATCACTTGTTTCTGTTTCATGATTTCTAAAGCTAGAACGTGATTTTACTTTTGCTTCTTCTTTTTTTTCAAATAGAGTTGAAATGTCGCGTTAGTTCATCTCACTCCATGACTGATGCATCATACCAACTGAAATGTTTGCATTGGACAACAATTACATTATATAACAGAATATCGTATTCATCCCGTCGTCGTTGTTGTTGTTTTTTTTTCCCATTTCTCAGTTGTGGATTTTATTCGATAATCAAACAACGTGGTAAATGTTCACGAAGATACTCAAATAGTTCCTGCGATGCGCCCGGACAATTGGTAAGCTCCAACTCTTGCAGATGACGTAGTTGAATTATGCTGGATAAACCACTTGATGTCAATAGGGGACAGCCTGCGATGATGAAACGAACATTGAGATTATATAAAAACGATTAGCAAATTAGATTGAACAAATTCCATTTTTATAACATTCAGAGTTAAAACCATCGTCAAAGAATACAAATAAAATGTAAAACGAAAGAAAACGCAATTTTTCGTAATAGGAAAATTCCAATTTTCATTAATGAAATTGAATCGTATTTTTTTGCTCTTAAATGGAAAGAAAATCAATTTTCACAGAAGAAAAATAGCTTTCAATTCAACAAATCGTAAAATCAATCAGATGAAAAATTCATCATCATTAAAAAAAAACGCAATAAATCATGTAATTTAAATGGGGGGAACATGAATAAATGCGTAGGAAATGATTGTACGCTTGTTATATACCTGCTAAGGAAAGTACTTGCAGATTCCGCATCGAACAAAGATGTTGTAATCCAAAGTCACGAACTTGTGAACACCAGCGCAAAAATAATGCCGTCAACGATAACATTGTTGATATATAACCGACGCCAATATCCGTTATATGCACACACCTATGAATGAAATTCGAATAAGAATAAACAAAAACAAACATTCGAATGAATTCGATTTCCTATAATTGGATCCGATTTTTTTTTCTCGATTAGATGTTAACAAATTGTTTATCAATCAAAGCGATACAGTCGAACGAACTAATCAAATTAACGATGCAATCATTTCGATGACTTTTTGATCATATATCGTCCAATTATGTTGTCGCATTCGCAACGGAAAGAGAGAAAAACAGTCCTGATTATCGTCCGTATCAGCGAATATATGATTATCTATGAAGCTTTTTTTTTTTCATAGAAAGTACGAAACGGTTTCAATATGATAATTGAGGTAAAAGTTACTGTAATAATTGAGGGATATTCATTCAATTGGCTTTATAGCTCAATTGCATGCGTTTCATTCTATTTTAATCTGAAATGTGCAACTTTCGATAAAAAAAGAAGGTCAAATTATCATAAGATTCGATGAAATTCACGTTCACAATGTCCTGTTCCAAATTTCGCGTAATTAGTCTTAAAAATCTAAATTGATATTCTCGGTTTTGAAAAAAGAGACAACAAAATAATTGGAATGAAAAACTAATGAACACGAATGTGCTCTTAAAAAGCATAAATGTATAGCCATTAATTGTTGTTTGCCAATAAATTGCACACAATCGTATTTTCATTCGACTAAAACGTGAACGGATGCATTTCGGCGGTTCATTTATACAAGATGTGTTAACGGTGATTTGGCATGAATGATATACTGCAATCAATTAACAGAAAATGTCCTGGCACAAGTCCCGAATCGACACATTGTTTATTTTAAACTTTTACGGTGGTGTCAACATACATGACAAATACCGCATACAATTTATTGATTGCATGAACTGTGTAAGTGCCCCGACATATTTGTCTCATCGTTAATTAAATGAAAGCGGGTGGAAATGAATCAACTAGGGCAACAAGTACATAATTCAGTCATTGAAATCCATATAAGTGCGCTCCCCAGTTTAAGTGAAGGTATATCATAAATTAATGTAGTCAATAAATAAACACATTGAACTTACCGATCAAGCGTTAGTTCCTCCAGCTGATTGAGATCGCAGGCGATATATTCGAGCGATGCATCGGTGATCCGCGGACACCATGACAAGTCTAATGCACGCAATTTTTGTAGATTTTCAGCAATCAATTCGATGCCATCGTCCGTGACTTTACTGCATCCGGACAATGACAGGACGGTTAAATGGGGTAGCGAATGAACTGCAAGAAAACGGAAAAATACAGATTTTCATATTATTCGTTTCTTATTTTTCAATTTCAATTCGTTTTTCTCTTCGGAAACAATCATTGAACAATCGAGCGCAAATCATTTATCATCAAAATCTGAGTGGTTTCGTACAAGTTCTAAATCAAAACCATGTTCATCTATTCACAGTTATGTTTCACCTATTAAAATGCTAACGGAGCCCATTTCAAAGCAAATAAATGTAAAATTATCGAAGTGAGCTATCGTTCGCTGCAAACGAAAACAAAAGAAAATTCCTTATTAAAACAAACGCCGCATAACGAAATGGAGTACAGTTTTTTTTTCGTTTGATTTTATTTTTGAATTTATTTAATTATTCATTGGCTTCTCTAGTCGTTTGCTCAGTTTGCGCTTTGTGTTCGAACGGGGCTCGTTCTATCTTAGCTTTTCTTGCGAAAGAAGAAGAAGACACCAGATAATGAAATAATTTCATTGGAAAGCTGAACAGAAAGAGTGCTCCAACCATTTCTCAATCACCAATTAAATACAGAACGACGAATAAAAAAAATACACGTATGAAAGACGGAGCTCAAACGAAAAGAAGCAATCGAAGCACGAAATATGAGCTAATAAAAACAAACTGAAATGAACTCTTTGCGCGCGCATTTCACTCATCTAGATACAAATAAATAAAAACAGAAAACAAATATTATATTTTGTCTATATTTAATATATCTGGTCGCGCGCGAGCGTGTACGCTGCGACAAGTCGGCTCAAGCAACAGACACACACACACACACACAAAACGATTCTAATTATTTTGATACAATTATTTTCTGTTCATTCCCGTTCCAATAAATGTCGATAGTTTTTTTTTTTTGAATCAGTCGTTCTGTATTGTGAACGAAAAGGAAATCGATGTCAAATAATTGTTTTACGGTTGGATTAGAACAAGGGAACTTGCACAAAGAATAACAAATTGTTTTTCTTTCTGCTGGAGTTAAAAAGATTTGATGACTTAACGAATGTTTGAACAAATCTTATTGAATTGATGTCAAACATGTCCTTTTATTAAGGTAAAATCAGGGAAGAGTAAACTAATTGATGTAATGGAATGCGAACGAATAAAGAAACGACTGAGAAAAGAGGGACTGGGAGAAGAGAATGGAAGAGACACACAGAGATTGATGCGAGGGAAAGAAGAAAGAACAGAGAAAAAGAAGAGGGTAGAATTTCATTCGCAGAGATATAGGTTCAAATGCAAGTGAAGTATTGTACAAAAGACCGAAATCCGAAATGTATCAGCAAAATCGGATTATAATTAATCTATAAATATTTATGCATGCTTAAAAACTGCAGCTTTTCCAACATAGGTGGTTTGCTTTATCACCCCCCCCCCCCCTCCCCCTTCATATTGACGAAAACCTGAATAATTGAACACGAAATTTTTGAATGAAAATCTCGTTTAATTCAACGAAAATGTCTTGTCGATCATAAAATCAGTGGCAAAATATGGCGAACAGCAGAAGAAGAAAAAAAATGTACGGCGGCACATCTCGGTCGTGTAAAAAAATGGAAGATCGAAGTCATTTCACATTCAGTTTCGATTACTGAACAAATCAAATCACAGCAAGAGCAACAAAATAACAATGTAAAATGCATAAGCAATCGACATATTTTTTTTCACATTGCAAATAATTACATGTTTTGGAATCGATCCTCATTCAAATGCAACATATAACAGATTATCACCACAATTTGAGTCAAATCGATGGCAAAGAAACCGTTTAGCATTGGAATTATGGTGTGCAGCATTGTATGAAAAGCTAGCTGTGATTGCATTTCTTGCGGGTAAACGTGCCCACTTGTCTGTGTAATTCAAGCACTGTTCAAATGACGTGCACAGTTCTCTATGCATCTAGATGTAATACGAATAGAATCAAATCGAAGCAGCAGCAAAGAAAAAAACAACAACAATTTTTAGATGAAGAAGAGTTTTCGTTGGAATACAAATGGCATTTTCGAAATTAGCATTCGTCTATCGCATTGCAAATGGTATCGATGCGAAAATCCAATTTCTATGACACTAACAGATCTACCAGGATGACGATAAAAACGTATACAGATAACAAATAGGCCAACTGAACAACAGATTAAATATAGAACAGATTTGGACGAAAAGGGCACCCGCGATAATGTCTCACATTTTTGTTGAATCTTGAACAACAACAACAACAAAAACACACACATACAGTGCAAATGGTCTGAATAAATGGTCGATATGTGTGACGATTTTGTATTCGTGGCATCAAAATATCCAACGGAATGAAACACAATACATTTATGGTCACAAATTACACGGCGATATGATTCGGTTCTCTTCAACGTACACCGAATTATTTCATTTTTATTTGTTTGTTCTTATTTTTTTCGTTCGTTCTTTAAATGTGACACACACATACGTAAATTCTTGGTATCTCAGCGACACATAATCCAAAATGACGAATGAAATAAATAATATATCAATAATATAAAATAGAGAAAGAGAGGAAAAAAATACACACACAATGCAATGAACAGAACACTTGAAATTATTATATCGTTTCAAGCATATGTCGTATGCAGATCATATCGAATGTTGCCCCAGATAGCAATTTTGTGTCTCATTTGCCATCTCAATGCGATTCGAACAAGAGAGCGAAAAAAATACGCCAAACTTTCGATATCAAGGAAATAACGATACATTTTTTTTTGTGGCTTTCATGAAAAAATCACAGAAAATGTGTAGCAATTGTTAATTTATGCAGATTCGTCTGAAACGACTTCAAACGCATGGAAACTAGAATCTTATGTATTCACTAATAAGATGTTGTAAAGAAAATTCAGATAAATATCATCAAGTGATATTATCGCATACCGAATTGTCTGTCAATCATCCAAAGGACAGAAGTGCATGCATAAAACGAAAAACATTTGAATTGCTCAGTGGGTTGCATGGTGATGCTGGAGCTTGTCGCCTGTACTGTGCGGCGCACATGAAATGTAAATCGATGAAGAAAAATCACATGTAAAGCGAATATGTGGAAAAACACAACCAAAAGAGATTCAATAAAACAATATGCTGCAACAAAACAGACTCTCGGCTACTCGCCGCTTCTTTTCGCTTCTGTTGTATTTCTTCGATTTGTTTACTTATTTCACACGCAATCATTTTTTTTCTATTTTTCACTGTTCAACATTGAGAGAGAATTGAAATGGTGGGAAATTTTATCGACAGACGAATTAGTTACTTCTTAGCCATTCGATAAGATGGATCACTTCTTAATTATCGGTGGCAATTAAAGCACTTTTTTTTTGGTTTGATTGATTCGGCTGGGGGAATCAAGCCGGTCTCTAATCACCGTTCTTCGGTTTTCTTTCAATTTCTTTGTGTTTGGTGGTGTATTCAGAGTCCAGTCGAGGTATTGTGTGATTGGCACAACAACGGATTTTCTCGTTGAAAGCTTTTGTGATAAATTCTATTTTGAGCATCGAAATTGACACAGCAGCATTGCATTGCATGGATGCAATAGATCGGCGTGTATATCATTCGGCTGTAAACTCTATGTGGCTGTTTTGTTTTGTGACCGACACTAACGGGTAGTATCGAATTTATTAACACCTACTCGTTGTTGCGATCACAATTACTGAAACTGCAACACAATACAACTGGGTTGGTTTTTCTTTGTCCGAATGCTGTGTCGCCGAAGAGAGCAGAAACAATAAGGTTGTTTAATTGAAAATCGAAAAATTGTTAGCCATTTTCATCTTCATTCGTCTTTTGTAATGTTCGGAATTCTCACTTGAATCCTGTTGGGTTCAACAAGCGGTAGCCTTCAGTATGATTTTTACGGTATCTGGCGATATATTACATGTCATTTTCAAAAAAATATATTACACACAATCAGACGCCATTTTTTACGAGTTTGTAACGAATAAAAGTGTTGAAAACATGGGCAGAATTATTTCGTGAATCGGTAATGAAAGTACGAAATGAAACGCATTCTATTCACATATTCAAAACTAAAATAGCATCTATCATCGTCGTTTATATTTTCGTAAATGCGGCTAATTTGAATGAGTATTGAAAGACGTATAGCCATCATAAGTTAATGCCACATCATCATTTTGCTGCGAGACACCGAGACTGTTCAACGCGTCGACACAAATATATAAAATAATGAAAGTGAAATGAGTGGAACACAGAATTTGGTGTGTCGCTAGCCGTAACAGTCAGAAAAGTAGATCAAATTTTGCCAAATGGAAATAGAACACGTCATTCAGTCGGATGATTCCAAAGCAAAATCTTTCTTTCCAATTTAAAATTGAATTATTCGTGATATCTTTGATATGGTTCTTTTTTGATATATTTTTGTCTTTTCTGTTTCATTTATATCTAAACCCATTCCCTTTGAATTTTGTTCATGCCTTTTGCAACTTCACAAAATGTTTCGCTGATACCATCAAAGGAACTTAACAAAACAATTTATCATGTTTTCATTTTCTGTAGTTTTTTTTTCTGTTCATCAGCAGAAAAATGCACAAAATACTACGATACTATTCGGTTTGAAACAATGTAATTTATGGCTGTTCCGTGAAATTTAAATGGTTGTAGAAGAAAAATTTGCCGTGCTTTGTGGCCCACGTGAATCAAATATTTATCCTACAAAAATAAAACGTAAACAAAATATAAATTTGAACTAGACTCAGCAACCCGAATAAAAACCACACAGAATGAACGAAAAATAAAATTGTCTCTGAACTCAATATAGAACAGGCCGCATCATGCGTTGCTGGCGTAATGAAATGAGCCGGTGTCGGTCAGTCAAAGTGTCATCAAAAGAAAATTCGCACGTTTATTTTTGTCTCACACTGAAAATTCCAATAGTTTTTTTTCTTCTTCTCTGCTCTGTGTGCGTGTGTTGTTTTGCTGTTCATGCATTCGAACACTTTGATACGAACACATTCAAGCGAATAAATCACCGAATTCTAGTGTGTACATCACTTTTCACGAGCTGAATTCTCATACCGCAAGCAAACTTGAAATACGATTTTTTTTCAAACAAATATTTCAGGAATTTATTTCTATAAAAAAAAAAAAAACGAATCATTTTTTTGTATAGAAAAATGAAGGAAAATATGTGTTTGATACGTAAACAAGCGCATTAATGTGATTTAGTTGAAATGTTTTGACCAACAGCATTGGTGTCTGTTGGCATCTTTTAAAAATTTCGGCATCGCAAGCTGTCATATTTTCTCGGTATCTGAACTCCAAAATACCTTAAACTTTAAAGACATGATCGTAATGATTGTGTACAATACAGCAATGACTTGCGCCACTCGCATGGACTACCAGCGATTTATTGCTATGTAGCAAGCCTGAAACCTTATTGCATAAAAAATCGATTCAAACTGTGTTTGGTTGTCTTGTATTTCGAATTCTTTTCCCCCCATTTATGCGTTAGACGGAATTAGCCCCGTAATTTACACGTTTGTACTTGCTATTATTATTAATACGAACTGATGTTATTGGCTTAAATTAAGCTGATTGTCGTAAAATATCACATGAATTAATTGTACGGTCTATATATATATGGATGCGTATACTTGATATACATTTGGCATTCATCGTACGTGGATGCGATGCAACAACGTGGCAAGAGGGAGAAAAAGCAAGAAAGAAAACACCAACTGACAACAACAAAAATTACGTAGATTTTATTGTCTCATTGTGCGTGTCCGTTGCCTCGTGTCGGCCATGTGCAATGTAAATAAATTCTTTGATCTCGCGAGTGTTTCATGCAAGAATTGAAATATATGGCTCATCCCACCTCAACATAATTTCAGCGAAATTGCTTCCTTTTGCCAACGTGTATATCGTTTCATTCTTAATTTTAAACTGTGAGTGTCTCTCTCGGTGTGTGTGTGTGTGTATGGATTCATCACCGTACGCCACTTTGAGTTGTAATTGTTCATTGTTTGTTGTTTTTGGCGATCAAATGCAATGCAGTGTGAGAGTATCAAGGCTTGCAATTTGGACATAACTGTCTTACTCACCTATATTTACAATGCCGTGATTTGTTAGCTCCCAGCAAGATTGTAAGCGCAATATACTTAAATTGTGACTTTGTTTTGGGGAAAAGTAACCTAATGCGGCATCAGTGACGTGATAAGCCTGCAAAGTAGACACAAAATATTACACATTAGACAGAGCTAATAGCTTTGATTTATTAAAGAAATAGCATTATAAAGATAAAAGCTTTTATGAATTGTTTTTTTTTTCTTCGATTTCTACCTGGCATACACCCGACGAGAAATTTGCGGTAAAATAGGTGTACGCCGACACTCCGTCGCATATCCGCGGATACTCGCAATGCGAATAGGAATCCACAATAAAAGTTGCCGCAAAATGTTATCGCTGAATACCCTGCGACTATTCGCGCTGCGAACAACAGTACAGTTCCAACCTGAAGTTGGCTGCGCATGACATTTCAGAGTATTCGCAGGGTACTCGCCAACTATCCGCAATGCGATTATTCGCAAATTTCTTGTCGGGACAATTGTAGCTAAGGAAAATACAGGAATATGTTATAATTGTTCATTCCGAAGTATCACTTACTTGTAAAGAAAATTCGTATAAAGAAGGCAAAAGTTGTGCAACGGCACCAACAGCTTCATCAGCAATATTTATACAGTCCGCCAATGACAATGAAACTATTCTAGGTGTTAAACACGACCATAGACCGGCTTCAGTTACTTCATTACATCCAGCTAATTCGAGCTCAAACAATGACTGCAAGATTAAAAGAGAAATAAAAAAAAAAATGGGGAGAATTGCATTATTTTTAATTATTCTTAGAATGAACAAAATGAATTAAAAGGTCAGCCCGGTTGGAAATGAACACTTATTCTAGATTATAGCCCTAATCTTGTCCAATTGTGATTGATGTGAAGAAATGAAGGAGTGTAACATTCTTTTCCAGATTGCAAAAGTGGAATTTTGTTCATTTGAATTGAAACAATTCTTTCTGAATCCATTTTATGAATATCTTATTCTTCAATATTGTATATGGATTCCTAGTTCTTCATTGCCATTTCTATTTTGATTGAATTAAATTTTAATTATTTATATTCCTACCAAATTTTCTTTGCAATAAATAAAATATGTCATACACACACACAAAAAATAGCTCTGAATGAAAGTCAAGCAAATGACCGAGAAGTGAAAATCTCTCTCTAGATTCCATTCAAATGACAATAGTTGAAAAGATTCTCAGCATACCACATCACACCACATCACATCGCCGCAATATGGTTTTGCATATAGTAAGACTAATTGTGCTTGTATGGATTGAATGCATCAAATTACCGTTTCGGATAGAAACTGGCAGAAATGCATGTGATTGGTCATAAGGCATAAGGCGTACTTAAACATATGATACGATTGTGTAATGCGATCATTTTATGTTGCGCATCGCAAGACTCGTTCGTTCGTTTCACTACTTTTTTTTCTGTTTCTTCGTCACTATTGTGTGTTGTTTGATTTTTTTTTCCTCTTTTAAAAACATGTTGTTGAGTCGATTTCGTAAGTGAAGTGACACTTCTTATCCTATTATATTTACTTGGGTACTCGCGTTCACATCTGATACATTATGCGGAAGGATTATGTGATGCGCTTAATTCATAAATACGATGGTCGCACGTGGTGACACTTTTGCTTTCTATTGTGCACTTCAACTTGTCAACAGCTGTTCTAATACTTTTTTAATGGAGAATTTTTCACTACTTGCATTGTGTTCTGTTCCGGAATTTATGGAATACTTTAGTCTATTTCAATTCTGCTTGTTCAAAAGTTCTTCAAACTTCTTTTTTTAATGTTCAGTCATTTTTCAACTGCTCAAAAATGAATCATATTTGAGTTGGTTTGTTGTGAAAAATGCGAGAAAAAAAATTGATTCTAGTTGTTACTAAGAATAAACGGGAGAGATTTGATATTGGTTTTTTAGGCCAAACATCTGAGATGTGTGGGAGTAGTTTTATATGAAATTGAACGTTTTTGAGACGACAATATTTGCTGATAACTTACTTGCAGATGGTCAAGCAACGCTTCTAGTCCACGATCACTGACGGATGCACATCGCAAACTCAGCGAATGGATGTGCTTTGAGGCTAATGGAAATGAGTGTACAATATCGATGGCATCCTCATCGGTCGCACCGAGCAGGCATATTGCATGGAAACCTCGTCGCACCAGTGAATTGTACAATTTTACCCGGTCTTGATTTGACATCATACGAAGTTCGCGACACTGCAGTGTCGGCAATATGCCCGACCAAAATTTCGGACTACGATACAAGGTGTCACGCCAACGTGCACACACCTGGGCCAATGTACGCCTTTCGTACGGTGTAAAATACTGAAAAAATTTATTGAGAAATCGTTCGTCCTGCAGCAATTGCTCCATCGTGCTAATATTTGATTTGGCAATCCAATTCCAACTATTTAAATCGGCATTGAGCTTCTTTTGTGTGACACAATCGTTTCCACTGCCTCCCATATTCATGGCATTCACATTTTGAGCATTGGTTGACGTTTGTAGCTTTCGAATGGATTGTGGCGTTCCTTGTTGACTATTACTACCGGACGATGTGATCAATTTTTGACCAATTTGCTTTGCCGATGCGATTCTGGACGGTTTTTCAGGTTTTTCGGGTGCACCAATCGATGCATTATTATGACTACTTCCACCGCACAATGCATTCGTAACGCGTTCCATAACGCTGGTTTTACCGTGGCCGTGATGATGTTTCGAGCGCAGGCCTAAAGAAATCCAACGAGAGAGAGAGAGAGAGAGAGAGAGAGAATATTTAAATAGGAAAATTTTTGAAATACAAAATGCAATTATTGTATGTATGTGTGTATGTGTGATGGAATATGATGGGATGCTTTAGTTAGCAGAGCGGTCAAAGCTTACCAACCGACTAACAAACAAAAAGAAATATTTGCTTCAACCAAAAATAATAGATTATATTACGCTGCGGTAGATTTGTCTCATTATATGATAATTATGCCACTTATCTCACTCGATTCGCTATCTACCACAATGCATCAATGCATGCATGCGTATGTATGGCTTGACAAAATAGAAACCAATTCAGGGTAAGCGGTTTCAATTGTTGTTTTCAATTGAAATGAATATGAAAACGTGGCAATAGCAGCTTTGATAATCACATATTAGCACCATCTAGGTTAAACTGACTGTGATATTTCCTTCTTCTTCAGATAGTTTACACTTTAAATTGATTTGATATTTTAATGTAAAAAAATAACTGGTACCTTTGGTTCCGAATGACTCAATGAGACCAATTAATGGAAACGATTAACACGCTAATGGCGTTCATTTTCCAAATGGCAGTGAATCGTACAAGAGAACAGAAAAAATTGCATAAAAAGTGTAACAAATTGTGTGACGGGAGGCCCCAGGAGCAAGTACATTAACCTAGATGGCGTTTTGTATGTGAGGATTGATTGCATTTGTATTGCTTCTTACACTCTAATTGTATTCGATTTGGTGCACCTTGTTCGCAAAGATGCTGCTCTTTCTCTCTCGCTTCACTTACCGTTAATGCGTTTTGCAAGTTCGACCGAAGCACGTTCAACAACACCCTGGGCTGATATCGACGACATTGTGTAGTTGTGGTTGAATGGAGGAATTGCGTTTTGATTGTTTCGTGTTTTGATTATTCGATTTTGGATTAGTGAATTTTTATATAGTTTTGATAACTGATTTATTGGTTGTTTATGGTTGCTTTATTTTGTTTAAATAATTTTTTAAACTTAAGCTAATAATTTATTTAAACTTGATGAACTGATCGATAAACAATCTTTCTCTTTGATTCGTATGATATTTAGTATTTTTTGCCTTCTTTTTTTAATATAAAATACTTTGCACAATAACTTGTTTTGTTTCTTCTTCTTTTTTTGACGAGAGAAAGATCTCTATCTCAAAACGAACTACACATGTTCATGTAATGGATAAAAACATAAACAACAAAATTGATAAAACGCGTAATCATATATGTATATATATATAGCAAATGGAGTATGGAGTATATTCACACACGCACTGATCTAATTAGCAAAAGCGAACCAAAAAAACAAAATCAATCTATATATCTGTTCGACCGAATTTTATAATGCAATAATTGAAATACAAATAGCAAACTAATTGCAGTCTTTGCGATGTGGATGAAGTGCTGATTGCTGGGCGATATTCTTTTTTGTCTTCTTCTTCTCGTTGGTTTCTTTTTCGCCCACTCTTTCTTTCTCTCTTTCTCTTTCTTCGATGACAAAACTACCAAACTGTCGACACGACAGCTACAACGATTTTTGTTGATGATGAGCAATGGATAGGATTTAAAAAAAAAATGTCTTTTCTTGTCTCTATGGTATGGTTCCGTTTTTGACAGATGTTCCACTAAAATTCATCAATTTTACTTGGTTTCGTAGGAAAAAACATTCAGTCGGAAAACTAATTTACGTGTGTATCAATTTGCACGAAAGAACAAACAAACACTGAACGGACGATGTCTCTAAAAAAAATTTACTTTTCGTTTCACTGTATATTGAACATTTAACTGATACAATTGATTTGAGAGCGCAAAAAAAAACTTGCACAAGTTTCATAAGTTTGTCTTCGTTTTTGTTTTGTATTTGTCGTTTATGCTGCTCGCTTCTGTTTTGGCAACGTATTTCGTGCACTATTTTTCTTCTATCTTATTGTTGCTCGTAATTTCAACGAATCTGGCATTCTGTGCTTCTTAATCTCGGAAATTGTCTCTTTTTTCTCTCGATAAACGCGACCGAATGACAGACACGGGACAGCAGAAAAAAAAAAACAAGAACTTTTCGTTTTTCAATTAAATAAACTGTTTCTTCTTGGATGACGTATTCACACACAAATCGAATCGTTGCCCATTTCACATCGATTTAAATGGTCAAAAATGTTGTGCTTTATCATGAACAAATAGTTGATATACATATATATTTCACAAATGAAACTTCAAGCTTTACGTTTCGTGTTTTTTTTTCTCTTCTTCTTCTTCTTCTTCTTCTTCTTCTTCTTCCTCTTCGTTCGTTCTTTCTCTCGGAGTTCAATTTAAATTTTCTTTATGTGTATATTTTCGCACAAGCACAATCGAATATTTTCCACTCTCTGGACTTCAGGCCCCCTGAAGAATGAAAATAAACTCTTTATGGATTAGTTGAAATGTACACTTTGTGGTCGGTTTTGTTATTTTGCTACAAAATGGTTGGTCTCAGTTTTACGGGATTTTAATACACTGACATTAAATTGGTTCAATTGCTGACGAATTCGATAAATAATAAAATTGCAATGCGAATTTCGATGGTTTTTGTTTCGATATGAAACAATTTTCCGACGACAAAGAGAGAGAGAGAGAGAGAGAGAGAGAGAGAGAATACGTGTATATGTATCCTTCGTTTCATGCTCCTATAAACGCGCATGTATGCGTTGCTTCGTGTTATTTAGGGTTTTATTTTTGCTGTGTGTTTATGTTTTTTCTCGTTCGATTTTCCCTCTTGAATTTGTTGTACGGAATATGTGCGAGAGAGAGAAAGACTTTCTCCACCCTGATGGAAAAAAGAATACACAAACACACTCACACATACACGCGCGCCGCAGTAGCAATGGGCATTAGGTGGAAAAGCGCTGTCGAATACGAACGACCGTATTGGATACCATCATGAGAATCGATTTTTCGCACATTAGAACATGCTGTTTGAGTCGTTTGATTCTGTTTTTTGCAGCATATTTGTTTTTTTTTTTTTGTCGTTTAATCATTTTGCTATTTACTTGAGCAAACAAACGTGTATTTATTTCCACCGTTCATATTCATAACGAGGACTTTTTCAATAAGTAGACTATGTATTCAGATGGAAATCGGGTGTCACATTCTCATTGTGCTTTTATCTGACGTTTTCATATTTTAAAACATACACACCCACACATAGACATCATTTTGACGGAATTAATATACAAACAAACAAATAAAAAATGGCACAAGTCACATGCGCTCGAACACACACGTACATGTACCAACGGAGTACGGGCTGGGCTGGTGTGTGTTTCTCCTGTTTTCCCAATGTGCATTGGAGGAACATACAATCACATGGAAATGAATGCGCGCACTCGAGGGTTAAATGTTGCGTATGTTATGTGGTGTGAGTCTTCGATATAATGGGTCTCCCTACACAATCGGAGCGCTGAATGAAAACTGACTGTATGCGCTTGAAATTCATCAAAATGCAGTTGAAAGATACCAACACACGAATCTCGTGCTGTATTGTGTATTCAACCGCCTTTGCATTGTAGTCGCTTTTGGAGCATAGATATATATATATATATATATATATATATCGCATTTGGAATGCCTTCACCACCGAACGGGAGAATAGGAGGGAGGGAGAGAGAGGAAAACGTAGAGAGAATATACGCGAGACAAAACGTTCAGAATTGCATAACTCCTATTTCAATCATTATATTAGTCCATTGTGTGTGACAAATGGTTGGTTTATTTATTTATTAAATGACGTCGTTCAAATTCGTGCATATGTCCTCTTTGAAGCGAAAGAGAGGGCGGTGGCAGTGAGCTGAGCCGGTCTTCTTCAATTGCCGCACATCAATATTTGAATAGACTTTGCGATTTCTAGATGAATTTCACTCTGAAACTTCAAGAGTCTTTTGTGCCCCTTAACATACAATTGATTTTGTCCTTCAATTTATCGAGAAACTATACGGCAAATTCCCACACAAACACCGAACCATCCGTAGTCTTATTGTTCCTTTCGTACCATTATATTCTGTCATTAACTGAATTCAAAAGGCCTTTGGTTGCAATGATCGCGCGTTGCACATGTATGATGGATACTAAAGCATGAACGCACACACAAAATGATTTCCGAATATTTTTCAATTAGCCTAAATGAAGTTAGCGATTAAGTGCATCAGACACAATGTTGTTGTTCGGAATGTTCGTATTTTTCGTCTCTTCTTTTAAACGCTGTGAATGGATTTGATGTGATTGAATAAAGATGGGCATGATAATAATGAAAATCGGTGGAATGTGAATGAAGATTTGGATATCTTCGTAAAAATTGTAAACACGAATGCATTGAACACAGGCACGCACACAGACACAAATATATATCGACAAAGTATAACAGCAGCAGCAGCAGCAGCAGCAGCAGCACAATGATGGAAAAAGAAAACATTTAAATAAAATTCTTATCGAAGGCCATACACATAGTCGCAATGAGAGTTCAGAATGCCAAAATGAAATTTGAAGCATTTTCTTCACACACACAATTGTAATGCCAAGGAAGATGGAAAGAAAAAAATAACTCAAAAGTGTCTGTGTATGTACGCTCGATTCGAATAGAGAAAAAAAATTATTGAAAGATAGAAATTGTTAAATAAAAGGCTTTGCTTACAAAGATTGCGTGCGATGAACATTTAAAGAGAGATTTGTATTTTTTTTGCTAAATTTGCTGCGTCCGACTGTTTTTTTTTTTTTTTGGTTTTTGTTTATTGTTGAAAAACAAATGGAATGGCTTTGCTCAAATCATTTTGACTTGCTTGTGATGCGGTTGTGATAAAAGTTGCTTGTCGGCTGGTTTTTGTTTGAACAAAATGTTTGGCGATTAAAATTTGATGCGAAAATGCTTCGAATAAAAGTGATTGATTTGATCTAACCTTCTTACATACATGTACGCCTCTCACTGAATATCACATATCCAATGGATTTCGTTTCACCGACGACGAATTCATAAAATGAAATTAAAGAGTAATTGTGAGAGGAAGAAAAAAACAGATTATTTCTCTCTTCAAATAAAATTCCAATCAATACACTTATTTCAGTTCAGGCATAAAATACATGTCGTTAATTATGCGTCCGATGTATATCAAATAGATCGAACAGCAAATCACGGCGGATTAAAAAATTATCCCATTAATATCGTTTGTCACACGGTTGAATAATCGTAAGCCGTTTGATCGTAGTCGCCGTCGTTGTCTTCATACAATTTTGAGCTCGTTTTGCAACGAAATTCATTCGCAACCGAACTTGTTCTGAACACTTTAAATGAAAATGGGATAAAAACCCGAACAAATCGAATGTTTTTGATTGAATTTCACTTAGTTTTCTAATTTAAATGCGTTCGTCGTTATAATCGCGATTTTTTTTTCCTTTTTTCTCTGCTTGGACTCAAGCATGTTCGCTAGCTCTTGTTTGTATTACTTACTGATTTGTTTGCAAACGGTTTTATTCTTCAGAGGTTAGGGAGAGAGCAGTTGGAAAAATAAATTTTCGAGGATAACATTCACGATTGTGGGTTATCCCACAGATACAGAAACACGTGTACACACAACCACACAAGTACATACAAAGCGACATGGACAGACGGGCGCTCTTAAACAATTTTCTCAATCAGACAAACCGTGATATCAATGTATATGTGTGTGTATATACTAAGCACATTTGGCCAATTCGAATGGCAAACAACGTGTACTGGTGTCGATTTGCGCTTGCATGATGAATGGTTGCAACCAATCAAGGAAAAATTGTTTGTATTTGAATTGTTGCTTGTTTATGAAATCCATCGTTTTTTTTTTTTCCAATTTTTGGATTTTAATCCGTTTTGATATCGGTGTGATTGTGGCTTTCGCTGGTGCTTTACAAGGCTTTTTTTCCAGATGTAGAGCGAAATGTCGGCCCGCAACAACGACAACATAGGCGAAAAACCAGCTTTGAACATCGAATGAACAGCAAAAAGAAAGGGAATCGACGTGTGCTCGGTCTGTGTACACTGTACACGCGTACACACAATTGCAAGCGCAACACAATTGGCTATTCATTGATGTACGCACGATTGCTCTACTCGACTGGTTTGTGCTGCTTTTTTTTATTGCCTTCTTCGTTTTGCTTGGAAAAATATACAATTTTTCATAAATACAAACTCACATTTCTGGCACAACACCCAAGTAATCAGATGCAGACAATGGGGTTTTCCGCTTACGGCAATTGCGCGTATTTATATATTTATACATAATAGTTGTTCTTCACCCGATGCCGTTGCCACTGTCAACACATACAACACAATGTTTTTTTTTCCTTCCTCTTCTGTTGCTGTTGCTGTTGTTTTAATTGTTTAACAACATGTGAGGCAAATTACTGTTTCAAGTAGCATGCATTTATGCATAAAACTCTGAAGCGATTTCCATCAGCTAAAGCCACTCGTCATGTCCACGGCACATTGTTTATGAATCTGCGACACAAAAGCGATACTTTAATTGTTCGGAGAAATTGTAGAACATAGCACACGAGAGCGAGTTTGAGAAAGAAAATTCACAACAAGGAAATAATGGAAACACATGAGTAGCACACGATGTGCACGGCGGAAAAATGAAAATATGCTTGAAATATAACGCACACACAACTCGCACTCAGCACATCATTTACATTTTGCATATTTTTAACAACATAGAACACGAGTTTAACGACAACACACTGCAACAGCGACAGCAGTAACATTAGAAACGTCACGTTTCAAACGTGAGACAGATAATAATGACACAACCGCTTTAAAAATTTTCTTGAATAATCAAGTTGTTTTGATCATAATCATAGAGAGAGAGAGAGAGAGAGAGAGAGAGAAATTGTTTCCCCTTTTATTTTATCTCTTTGTTTTGCGATCATTATAATCGATTTTTGCTCAGGCTATTTTTTTAAACAAAGCTCTATACAAAACATGCACTTTTTTCTCTCGAAATGCCATTATCATAATAATTTCATCGAACGATAAGTGATTCCAAATTGCGATTTAGTTTTACGAACATATAAATAGTTAAATTCACCAAGGACATTCAACAAATGCCAAGATATCGTTGTCATTATTGGTTTGACTTTTCAATACGCAGAACAGACACATTTCTGTTAACTCACAGACATCGAATACAATCAAATATTTTGATAGACATGAGTGAAAATATTCCGTCATCATCATTTCGCCGTAATCGCACATGAACTATTAAACGCCTCATGTTTGCATTTTATAACGGCAATTAGTTGTCAATGCAAGCAGATAATTATCTGTTAGAATAATAATACTCAATCCTTGTCGTTTAAATATATTTGCGATTCTCACGATTGAAGAAAATCCGTCTCGAAGTCAGCTAAAAGCCCATTTCGCTTTCTTTTCTCTTTCGCTTTATTTTTCTGCAATGAAATCGTTGTAAATTATATACATCACAGCATTATTTGAAGAAGAAAAAAACACTCTCTCGTTTTATCGAACATTTATTTAAACATCGTCGTAATTAAAAACCTTTTATCGTCGTCATAACACTCGAAATTGGCGAATATTTTGTCGATTGAACTCGAAAACAATTGAACACACAGTAAATATCGGGTAGAAAAAAAACACGAATGAAATCCAAAAATGCGAGTTGAGAAATGCTTGATCATCGAGCAGAATTTAAACCGTAATATCACTCTGAAATGTGGACGTGCATAAACAAAATGTCTTTGTCCGAATACAAAACCCGAAATTCGTTTAATTTATGAATCAAAACATAAACAGAAAACTGAAACCGAACGAAAAGCAGCACAGTGCGGCGGAGAAAAGGAGGCAAAAACAAAGGAACAAGAAACCAACACAGAAAAAAATAAAATAAACGTAGTTGACAAAAATAAAAATCAGGTTCACAACCTCAAGAGATTTCTGAATGAATTCCGTTTTGGGGCTCCTCTCTCAGTTGGCAAGAACGCGCGAAGTTTTTAATCTATTCGAAAAATCAATTCATTAAATACTAAAAATCAACATATCGCACCTTTACCGTGCAGCCGTTATAACCCGCACTCATTTTCAGTCGGTCCACTTTCCCGATTCAAAAATATAATTGTATTACCCACTGACACAGCCACCGAATCAGTGAGACAGAGACAGAAACCGAGATGAAAACGAACGAACGATGTTTTTCTCTCTTTTTTTTTCTTCTTTTCCTAATTCCTTCTATTTTCTCGTTCATTTAGAATGAACGACAAAAGAAAAAAAAATAGCAGCAAACGACACGGCAACATTGGAGCCACCGAACTATGCGCATGTTACACACTGAGGAGAGCTGAGATTTGAGCGCGCCGCAATAACAGCAGTGAGCAGCAGCAATTTGACTCACTCTAAATTGACTGCCAAGATTGCTTCGATATTCGGCGGCTTGGCAGGCGACTTCAAAAAGTCACACTTTAAACAAATCACACAGTCTCACTCACACTCACTGGCATATAATTATTGATGTTATTATTATCATATTTCGTTCTGCGTGCCTAAAATTACCGTGATGTCCGGCATCGTCACTCGTATTATGCATTCGGCTCAAACATCTATGCAAATTTGTACATCAATTTACTTTTGAATACAATCGGTTTTCTTTGTTGTGATTTTCTCGATATAATCTTTGACGAATGTGCGACATTTCTTTGTGTATATTTATTGCTACGGACGAAAATCGGTGTAAAAATAAGTGATGTGTTTGTTTTGTTTGTTGTTTCTTTTTTTCGTAGGCACATCACACATCCTCAAATTCCTCGGAGAATATTTTTTGTTGGTTTGAAAAAACGCAAATAATTTCGACAAAACGCAATTTCAGAGGAAACATACGTTTTGGCACACAGCATTTTCAACGCATTTTCCAACGAGCTGTGGCAAATGTCGATCATCTTGTTATGTTTTTTTTTTTTTTCGTTCTAATCATCTGCTTCGGATACATCCTGATTTAGATTTTTAGAACTAAACACTTCCCTGTTTTGTAGTACAAACGTATTCGATTCGAACACGTAATTCATCATGTAGTGTTGTACAAGTAATAAACACTGCTCAGAGGCGTCCTCAAACTTCACCTCTCAACCGGTTTATTTCGATTTTCTTACATAATTACATCGTATTGCACACAAAACATATGCATATTATGTATACAGAAATAGATTTTGCAATGTGAAATAACGAGCACCGAGCATAGTTTTGAATTCGATGACTTTACATGTCATGTGAAGTGTCAAAAACTGTCAATTGGAAAGACAACACACAGTTGTCAATAATATGTTATGCAAAAATAAACTATCGAAACCAATAACACATAAAAAAGACTGTTGTAGATTCGAATAGAGTGAAAACTTTGGTGATTATTGTGCATTTATGGCGATTTTGAATATCTATAGATTTATTCTGAATTTTCATATTGATGGTACTGATTTGCAAGTTTCTATTTACGCTTTAATTTGTCGATGAAAACCGATCACCATTCACACCAATTTTATTGGATGTTTTGTGTTTGTATCATTTTTAAAATTTGACTTGATTGATAAATTGAGATTATTTTCAATACTTTCTTCCATAAGAGATTTCGATACTTATGCATAAAATCGCCGACTCAAAAAATTATCCACTTTAGTTATACTTGGCATTGAAAATTTTACGCATCCACATTCCTGCTCCGTGAAATTTGCTAAGCATTCCATTTCGCGTGTACATTTTAAAGAACATCAATTGACGCTCGGTTCCGAAGAAACATTGGCGCTGGCTTGGCTTATAAATTCGTAGTCCATCCGATGTTGTGATCGATTTCGCTCTAATCGATATTTGTACTACTTCATCAGAAGGTATTTGGAATACAAGACCAGACATGCCTGGTACCTCACCCGGCAAAGTTATAAACACTTGAAATCCCGAATTCAAGCGTTGGCATTTGAATGATAAATTTTCGGTCACCAGTTGAAGGAACAGTGTTAAAGCACCGGTTGGTTTTGCATTGAATATGCGCATTGGGTAGCAGTCATCATTTACACCGATTTCATATCCTTCCTCTAAGTTCCACTGCGATATATTTGGATTTCGTTTTGCGATCATCAACGCTGGAGCCATTCTAGATAAATGAATACCACGAAATAATTTTTGTAGACGATTTTGTAAAACTTTAAACACCTCAAACCAAAAACTTACTCATCTGTAAACATTTCGTGTGAGTTTAGAGCATTGAAAGCGTAGCATAAACCGCTATCGGTGAAAATTGGCGAGAGAGCGTCACAGCTAATAGTATTACTCTGCCATTTACAATTAACAAAAGACTCGTCCAGATACGGAGCGATTTCTTCGATAGTTCTATATATTGATTCATTTACAAAATCATATCCGCTATATACCCACATGTGGCATATGTGTGCTAAGGCATCAAGTTTCATGAATCTAAAAAACGCAAAATGTGTAATGTTAAAAAAAAAATGTTCATTTCTCACTCTGTGTCAGTTAGGGCGCCTGCTTTGAGCAACATTTCATTTATGTTCGATGCGTTGATCATTTTTTGACGAGCTTTGATCTCTGGGCATATCGTTATTGTAGGGTAGGGAATATCGGATATGGGCGCTTGTTTTTCCGTAAAACCAACTGTTACCGGATTCTCGCTCCAACCTATCAAAATACTCCGGATCGATACAAAACATAAGTAAACTGAGACGCTAAAAGCGACTATCCACCACAATCTGCAAAGTTGTAAAATAGAATTAATTAAAGAAATTTTCTCAATTCAATTATTAAAGGAGACATTGCCTTTCACTCCAATGACGCTTTCGTTCGGTAAAATATCGAATTCCGTGAATTGTGGTGTTGGAACAAAAATACGCCAAAACGGCTCGAACCGCCTATAAATGAAGGATAAAACCATAAATGTCACAAGGTAAATTTCAATCGAAGATATTCGCATATGATATGTGCGGCATATACTCCGAAAAGTCTTACTTCCGACTGATTTTCAGTGTGGGTTTGCTCTTGAGCACTGTTTGGTTGCCACATTTTCAATAAAATTTAAAGAAAAAAAAGCACAAGTTTTTATCCTCTATTTGCCGATGTTACGTCGTCGATGATATTCACTTGACTTTTTGTCAAAGCCTAACCAAAAATTTCGTTTCATTTTATTGCACACTGAATTTTTCATAAAAAGTCGACTGCCATGCAAATGGATTGCATCATTTAGATTTGAAGATAACTCCGGAGTAATTAGAATTTTGTTTGGATCGTGTTGCATTTCTCTTTTCATTTGCATTCATTATATACTCACCTGATTTTGGAGATTAATATAAATAGATGTTTCCACTGGAACGGTTCAATAGTATTTGAACTAATAATTATTAGTACTTATAAGTGCAACATTTCCAAGAGCATCTGTGTCATTAAGGATAATGCATTGATAGTGACATTGACATTGACCTTAATCACAAAAAAATTGATAAATTACACACTCATTTTTGCTTCAGAAAGAATTTCGGTCATAGATTCCGGCGGTGACATGAAATTAAATTCTTCATCAAATCCACATGGGAAAACAAATTCCAATCGGGTTAACTGTGAATCAATGTCTTTAAGTAATGATGCAACTGATGACAACGATTCGACTCACTGGGTTTCACGTTGGCAAACAGTGTTCGATCAAATTGTTCGGAGACGAAGAAAAAGATCAATAGTAAATAGTTTTTTGACACCTTATAACTTACATGATCTGTATCTTTGAAATGTTTTTTTCTTCAATTATTCTGCCTTCGAACATTGGCGAATATTAAGTGCAAATAAAACCCTTACTCTGACTTCAAAATCAGTCTGTTGTTTATTGCTAACCTTCTATGTATATGTATAACGAACATTAATTTGAAATTCATTGACTTCATACGTCATGTGAAATGTCAACAACTGTCAATTGGAAAGACGGAACTTGTCAGTAACATGATATGAAAAAAAAGTTATCTGAATAACATCGAAAGCAATACCCGGAATTTATTCTTCGAAAAATATTCCACATAAAAAGACTGTTTTATTTTTTTATTTTTCTATTTTCTGGGAAAAATAGTTTTTTTTAGAAATAATGACGCTCGATTTGAATAAAGTAAAAACTTTGGTTACTGTTCATTTTGCCGGTTTTGAGTAAAATCATTCAGAAGAATTTAATCTAAATTTACTGTTGGTTTTGTAATATTTCAGGATTTTCCGGTATTGAAGAATGATAATTTGTTGAGAGCGGCAAGAGGTGAAGACGTTGATCGAATTCCAGTATGGGTGATGCGACAGGCTGGTCGATATCTACCAGAATATCAGGTACTGAATATTTTTTGAAGTATTGGAGTAATGATGATTTTTTTTTCTTCTATTCTTTGTTTGAAACAATGGTTTAAATTTAAAAAAATAAATGCCTTTCCATTGCGACAGGAAGTACGAAAACAAAATGATTTCTTTACCATTTGCCGTACGCCTGAGTTAGCCTGCGAAGTGACCATGCAGCCATTGCGACGGTTTGATCTTGATGCTTCCATCATTTTCTCGGATATTCTCGTGATTCCGCAGGCGTTGGGCATGAATGTGGAAATGGTTCCCGGAAAGGTATTTGATGATTATATCAAAATCTATGTGAAATGAATTGAAATAAAATTCATTCAGTTGAAAAAGTAGCCAGAAAACCAATTGAAACATATATCAAAATGAAATAAATGGATTAAATTGCGATTGCAGGGTCCCGTTTTCACCGAACCACTCGTAACACCGTCAGATACGGTAAAATTGAATGCGACAGGGGCAGTGGATCGTTTAAAGTATGTTGGAGATGCGATCACAATGATGCGTCACAAACTAGAAGGCAACGTGCCTCTGATCGGTTTCTCTGGCGCACCGGTAAATGATGAATTCTATATAAAGATTAGTTGTTGCAAAATTTCAGCAAATTGAGATTATTTTCCATCAACAACAATTGAAGAGACCTGACTGATTTGAGACTCACCTTGACTAATTTATTTTTCTTTCTTCAAAGTGGACATTGATGGGATATATGATCGAAGGTGGTGGCAGCAAAACAATGTCCAAGGCCAAGGGTTGGCTTACCAAACACAATGAAGTGTGTCACAAATTGCTGTCGCTGCTGACCGATGTCATCGTCGACTATTTCGAGATGCAAGTGAAAGCAGGTGCTCAACTGATACAACTATTCGAATCAAGCGCCGATTACATTGATAAGGAACAATTTGCGGAAGTATCATTGCCATATGTGCGCCGAGTCCGTGATCAACTGCGAAAACGATTGCAAGATCAATCAATCGAACCAGTGCCCATGATTTTATTCGCTAAAGGAGGCGGTCATTCTCTGTCTGAACAAGCTCAATGCGGATACGAAGTGATTGGAGTTGATTATAATGTAGATCCAATCGAAGCCAGAAAAGCGGTCGGTCCAAATGTGACGCTTCAGGGCAATTTGAATCCGGCTGATATGTATCTTCCAGAGGTAATGAACTCATTGGGTGAGGCTATTTGGTTTCGAATTCAACGTGTTTCTATTTATAGGCTGAGCTAAGGGCCCTAACAAATCAAATGGTACGGAAGTTTGGGATGAAACGCTATATTGCTAACTTGGGACATGGAATCACACCACAAACGCCAATCGATAGCATGCTTACCTTCGTTAATACAATTCACAATGTTTCTCAAGAATTGCGATTCAATGCTGGGAATTGATCATTTTTCTATTTAAACATTAGAATGCATTTTTCTATACCATAAAAAGAATTGTTCTTTAGTTTTTGTTTTCAAGAAATAAATTTATTCGATGAGAAAGCAAAAAAATCGACTTTTAAAACATTCGACTAAACCATTCTGAAATTCGGATCGATTGAACGAAATAAAATTATATATCGTGCTTTTTTGTTTCGTTCAAACCGTTCGTTAAATTGTTTTGCTTTTTTATTTTGGCTTTTACAAATTAATTTTTTTTTTTCTAAATATTTGGAAAAATGATTTGATATTACAGTATGCATATTTGTACAAATTCAATGTTCAACAAAAATACTTTCTGAATATAGACTTCTTTTTTAATCTAAAATAAACCCTTAAAATATTCAACCAAATAATATATCAAGTGCATTTATGCTGAAATAAAAATATGTGTGTGTGTGTATGTGTTTGTTTGTTGGCGTTCGAATTTCTGTATATCGTTTTCAATTTATTTCGGTAGTTGTTCGGCTTTGCCTTGAAATTTAGCGATTTGTATTGAATCCAGCTGCTGTTTTTTTATAAACCATGCTGCGATATTTTTGCATAGCCGTCTGATTTCATGGATTTATCGTATGTAATTTCGACATAATTTTCAAACATGGAACTATAAATCAAATCGCATACAAATATTCTCGTCAAATTTAGTTAATAATTCCTATCTATTTAAAATCGCCGACACTATTCGATGGTAATCAAATTTGCTATTTTGAAAACAAATCTGGGAAATAACATACATCAATGTTCTCAAACCACCGTTGGCATTGTTGAACATTTATTTTTTTCATCATATATTTGAACAAAATAGAAGTAAAAAAAAAACATTCGTATGCACGATGTGTGTGCACAAAAGAAGCCCAATTTTATTCTTCACAGCAGGTTCTTATTCATTATCATTGAATCATGGTAGGTATCAACACCATCTAAAAAAGGTTGGCTTCCAAATTTTCAAATAATCTTTGCAGAAGAGATAAAAAATAGCAATAATTGAATTTTGTGCATCGTTTTTTTCTCTCAAGAAAATGTGTATTATATTAATGGAAGTGAATTGTTTGAAAAATGTATATTTTTCTGTCACATCATATAAACATGGTTTCCTCATATTGTATGACATATACAATTTTCAATAATTTAATATGTAACAAATAATTTCCCGTTTCGAAACTAAATTTCGAAATATCCATTTGAAATTGATTTTTACTGAAAAAATTCAATCGTGTTTTTTTCCTTCAATAAAAATTGATATTTTATCAATTGGCTTTTTACCAATTTAATCAATAAAAACAAAGGCTTATGCTTATTAAATTAATGACATTCAACTTTTTCAATGATTTTATTGAAGAGATACGGAAAAAATGTAATAAAATTAGAAATTTTTTTCAAAATATTTAATAATTATATTAACAAATTTGCAATTTGCCAGAGCTGTTAAGCCCTTGAATCTTGTTTCGATATCGGTTTTTTTTACAAAATATTGCAACAAAAAATCGTTTTAGGCATTAACTAAATCTACAATTCATAATGAATATGTGCAGTTGTGTGTTAACTGTGCGCCCTCTTATAAACTAAGCAAATTTTTTTCTTTTTTTTCGTATCCATTATGTACAGAATCGCAATTTAATTGTTTAGATAGATGATGGTATATAGTTTACAGTGTGAGCAAGTAAGATTTTCTTTTCCTTCTTCTATTCAAGATCCTCTGAAGTAGATGGATGCTGGTTCGATGTTGAGGTTGATTCTGTGTCGTTTTCGACAATTGTACCGTCAATATCACTGAGTTCACCGTTGAATTGTAACAGGCAGCCCATTGCGCCGAAGTATCCTTCATGCTCTAAAAACAAAGCCTTTAGCGTGCCATGCGACCAGTAATCCATTGCATAGGCTAATAATTTCATTGAAATTGGATTCACTCGCAAGAAATTGCCAACAAACACAACCTGAAATTGGACAATAGAAAAAGTGATGATTTTTGTTTCTTTCAGTACTTAGTTTGTAGATCTAGTTTAATTTTCAAAATATTTTAATTAAAAAAAATTTCATTTTGAAACGTGCATTGAATTCAAGTGTGTGATTGAGAAAAAAAAAACTCAATGTGAAAATTGCTACCTTTTCAATTTCTTGATTCATTGCGCACAATTTGGCTATCGAACCAATATTGTTCGTTATTGTGACAAGGGTTGCATTCGCCAGATCTTCCTTCGAAACGCTACTTCTTCGCTCTTTTCCGTTCATTTGACCGAAACTACGAATTTCAAACCAAATTATTTAGTTGATCAAAAGGTGTAAATTCTTTCTAACGACATCAAACACTCGATGGTAAATTATTGATAAATAGCATTGATTTACCTTGAAGCAACCAAGTCACCGGGTAAACCAAATCGCTCATAATCACCGCCATAAATATCTCGCACCAATTTGTCCACATTTTTATGATCACCTTTTGTTGCCAACTGTATCGCCTCCTCAAATGTATCACAGCCAGTTAACAAACAGCACAAACCTAAGAACGTACCGCCTCCCAAACTGTTAAATAGAATGGATTTTTTTTTTAAATACTTGCATTACAAAGCTACTATTAATCAAGATAGACTAGATTTAACGAAGAAGCAAAGAAAAGTTTATTCGTAGAAAAATCGCAAATCCAAGCAAAAACCGAAAATGAAATCTGCAGATTTTTTTTTCGATGAATCTTAGCAAAGATATGAAAGAATATATTGAATGAGAAAATTACCTTGTACCCGATATGCGTTTATAATTTGATGGCCCATAAACAGCCAGCACGGAAACGCCACTGCCCACATTCACCAGAATGAATGGATAAGGCTGCGAGAAATCATATCGCTTCTTTACACTCGACCTGAATAAAGAAGGAAAATTACGAATCGAATGTTATTCATTTTCATTTAATTGACGCATTTTGTTCGTGAGTGCCCTTAGCGACTACGTCAAAACAGACGCAATCTGATTGAAAATTGCTTATCACAATACACAAGTTGCAGTACAATAAAAAAAGGAATAAAATTAAAATTGCAAATGTAACTAGTACTCACTCTATTTTGCTGGCATTTTCAAAGTAATAGCATTCGGTTGGATTATGTGTTTCAGCAAATAAAATGCCCTTGATAAGAACATCTAGTTCATCAAATTTGGCCAAGTTCATGTTTACTTCCTACACAAAAATAAATCGTGTTTTGTTATCGAAATGAATCAATTTTAAATGAGAAAAATGAGTCGTACATCTTTGAAGTTTTGTTCGAATTTGAATGCACCGCCGCCTGTTGCGCACACGGTGGTTACTAGTTGTGCCATTCCTTTGGATTTGGCCAATTGAAGAAAATTTCCCATTTCAGACGTTGGAAATCGAATGAAGTGCAATGATCCACGTCGCCCCCGGATATGAACGTCGTCCATCTGCAACGGAAATTCAAAGCCAATTTTCGATTTAAATTTATTTCATTTAGAAACGGAAGCAGCAATTGATCAGCATTTTATAAAAACAAAAAATTCTGTGCCAAATTCCCCAGCAATTTCTTCAAATCAATCGTTTGTTTACCTGTAAATGGATGTCTCGATGGCCAGTTTTGCCATATGCCGAATTTTTTGTCAAATACCGCCGAATATTGCTTAATGTTTCCGCTTCTTGATCGAGTTCATCGGGTGTGTGATCTTTTGGCTCAAAATAAACCAGTTTAGTTAGGGTTCCGCCTATGTCCATGCCAAACCATGGCATTGCTGAAATAGAAAAAGAAACGAAACGAAACGAATTAAAGTAAATTTCAAATGAATGTTACACGTTCTGCGATTTCGATATATATATATATTGAATATATATATATTAGCCGAATCATGGTAATAATGGTCGTCGGAAGGAAATACTTTGGAATATGTAAAGTGGACACATTTGGCCTTGAGACACTTCTGCACATCTGAGTTATTCATACGGTTATTATAAGTCGTTTATTTTATTTGATAAAATCTATTGTTGTCAGCTTTTGTGAGCCGAAGCAGACAGAAGCCTTTTGAAAGTAAATTTGATGGAACACGATTTATAGTATGTCGTCTATTTTCGTTATAATGGAATAATCTAACGAATTTATTTTGACGATCTGTTAATCGGGTACCTTTTGGTTATTCCGAGATTGTTTATCTTTTATGTAGGAATAAAATGCGAAATTCCATTAACATCAACTCAAAGATGATAATACAACGAGCAAAGTGGGTCACATAAGCAGGGCTCTCCGCTCTCAAGCTTTGATTATATAACCCCGATAATATTCACACCATTTCTATCTCTCAAGATCTTATTGCGTTGAACTGGATTCAATTTTGCCAAAAGTCTGTATAATTCTAAGTGCTGTATAATTCTAAATTTTAATATTTTTTTTTTTGTTATTTCTTCATATAAATTAATGGGCCATCAAATCATAAAAATGTAATTAGTTAACACAGCTGCGTGTCGTGAACAAATAAAACTTGAGTTAAATCAGCTGTTTATTTACTGCAAGTAAAAATTTGACTTTCATTTGTCTTCGTAAAAAGACCTTAAATGTTTGGTATTTAAAAAAAGTCAAGTGCTATTTGAGGTAATCATGCCACACGCATTATTTCTGTGTAGAAGTATACTGATTTTTTTTTTGCGCACAAAACACGAAATAAAACTCTCTTTAACTTCCCTATCTGAATGTTTTTTTTTTGGCATAGTGAAATAGAAAAAAAAAACAACAACGAACTGATTAAAAAAAACAAACAATAATGTTGTCGGCCGTGTGATTACCGCATGATCAATGATTAATTGTCGCTTAGTCGCTTTGTGTGAACCCAGCAAACACGGAATGTATGAGAAGAACGGAAAGTTGCCTTGGTAAACAAACCCCTAGTTTGATAGAGATGCAAGCGGTAAACGAACATGTGCGCGCGCGACATTTTCGATCACGTTTCGGAATTACTCAATCCAATGTGTAATTGACGCGATGATATAAACAAGAGAATTTAACATATAATCACACTTGCACGCGTACAAAGCGAGTATGTGTATTTCTCTCTCTCTCTCTCTCTCTCCCTTTCTCCTAATACATGGCAAATTTGAATGATGCATTGAGACGCAACATTTTCATGAAGTGAATTTTCGACCCAATGAAGTGTAACGCTGCAATGCTCATGGTGATCGAGTTTTTTAGCACTACATGAAATGTAGAGCTACTAATCTGCTTTTTTTTCTTAATACTTTTTGAGTGATGAAACGAATTATGGTGAATTTGAATTTTATGCTCATATTTTTTATTTAATTTAAACCGAAGGCAGTATATTTCAAAAAAGAAATAAAACCAAGATCTTGTAATTCATTTTGCAAATAAATATATTACTTCAAAGTTACTTTGATGAAATACATTTCATGTAGTGCGCCAAAAAATAGTTTGTTGTGAAACAACAAAATTGATTAATTAACTAAAAACTCAAGAACGCAGAGCGGAGCAAAGTTTTTCTCTCACCCGATTAAAAACCAGACTTTTGAAATTAATTATTGTTTTCTGCATCCGTATTCCAGAGAGAAGAATGATTGTTGTTTGGTATTGAAAAATAAAAACAGGGAAATTGGCAAATGCTAAAAGCGAAGAAAATCAGTCAATAATTGGAAATATCAAACACGATTGAAATTTCAAAGAAATATCCCAATTGAAGCGGTATTTATGAAGTCTAACGATAAGCTGCGAGACATTTGGGTATTGTTGTAAAACAAAAAATTACTGGGAAAAATCCATTCGTTAAATGCACAGGAAAAAATGATTCATACCGAATATTGTCACGCTTTATTCACTCGCCCTAATCAAATGTTGTGTTGTAATTTTTTTTTTCAATTCGCTATTGATCTCTCGTACTTACTGGCATGGTGGATGTTAATTTCGTTAAAGTTTTCATCGTTTGCGCCAAAATTGCCGGCTTTATTATTGGAATGGTATTTGATTTGTGCCAGACGTACTCGCAAACAGTCTTTGCAGTTGATAATATCGTGTGGTGTAGTAGTCGTTCGTGAAACTGGCGCCATGTTTTTGTTCTCTTTTTATTTTCTCCGAAAATCTGTTTTTTTCTGTCAACTTCTTTTTTAAACTTTACAATTTTCGATGGGCAGCGTATTTTTTTCAGGAATTGTTAAAGTTTTTGGTTTGGTAGAGTGTTTTTCAATTAACAAAAAAGATTGCCAATATTGTAATGGTCATTTCTCATGTTGGCTTTTGCACAAAAATCCGTTCGGTTCGGAATTCCATCGAATTGTTTGCTTTTCGTCTATCAATCACGGAATCAATCGTGTATTTGGTTGCAATAAATGCTATTGAAATATGTTCATACGATCACTTTTCACCATACTTCTTTTTTCACTTGACGGATCACGTTGATGCTTCTTTCAAAATGTAACCGAGACAATAATGTATTAAACAAACCGAGCACAACGAAGTTTTGTTTTTTTTTTTTAAATCAATTTTAATTTTTCACCATTTTTCTATTGACGCGAAAATATCACTTCATCTCGTTTTCTGTGTGTAGCTGTAACTCTGTTGTTAAATCTTTACGAGAAAAAAAAGTGTCAATCAGAGCGCCGATGAGTCTAAAATTCGTCCTACGGTCAACGAAAGACAACCTCAACTAATGGAATCGACAGTAGGCACACCGTATACATTCGTTAACTCATCGAAGATTATTGAACCAGACTTTATTTATTTTATTATTCGTACGTATATTCGGTTTTAACTTTAGAATGTTTTAACGAGAAGAAAAAAACAAATTCAAAACGCGCTACGTTTATTAATGATAAAAAAAAACCTCAGCACGCTTTAAAATGAGTCAAAATCGCTTGTTGATATGTTCAGTTCTAAAAATCGCTTGCATTCATTCGACTTGAACATATCGGGAGAGATTGTTGAGTATTAAATACACACATTTACTTGTTTTCTTTCGTTTCATGTGAACTTTCTTATCACGAGGGTGTTACTTTAATGATAATGCGTTTAAACGTAATTTTTGACATTCATGTTCACCATTAACGCAAACACACATCGTCCCATTTTATGTCGTCGTCGTCGTTGTCGTTGTCGTTGTTGTCTGGCGCAAATTGATGGCATCGACGCCATTTAATTGGTTTGCTACGAATTTCCCAATCCATGTAGGCCCATACAAACGATATTAATGTAATTGTTAAAAAATGCCAACAACAACAACAACAACAGCAGCAGCAGTAACAGTAATGACCAAACGCAGCAGTAGCCACACTACAAAGCATTATTTACAATGTAAAACCCGCATTATACCTGCACACGCATTCACGTATGCATATCAGATAAAATGATTAGTGTGTAAATAATTGAATTTTGACACAAATGCCCATTCAACAGCTTGTAATGAAAGCAGCCGATTAATTGCTGGTCGAACAACCGAACGACACAAAAAATAAGAAACAAAAATAAAAACTAAGTTGAAACCGGATACAAAAATTATCACACACATATTAAGGTTTATTTCGTGTTTTTTTTTTCTCGTTGGGCTATTGTTGTTGCTGCTGCTGCTTATTGTCCGACCAAAAGCGTACGACAAATTATTAATATCTTGGATTTTGGACGAGAAAGAGAAAACTTCGAGCAAATAAAAAAAATGTATATATGGTAAAAAGGTAAGCGATTGTTTGTGGTTGTGCGTTGTTATGATATTGAAATAAGCATGCGTATATAATGAGAACATAATTCCGGCGCTCGGATCGTACGATCTTTTTCGTTGAATGTGCGCTACGCTACGCGCCTGGTCGCCCATTCATTCATAAGTTTTCCGAAATTTTTACGTTTTGTTTGGTCACACTGCGTGCATACCTTTCGCAAAATGTTTACGAAGACTAATAAAGGGAAAAAAAATACGTTCACTGAATTTTTATCACACATAGTTGTCATTAATGTTTAAACGTCATGTTTCTTTTGTCGTCTTGGTTTCTTTGTTATTTTTGTCAAAGGAATCCACTTTCTTCTCTTCCCCCAATATTTGGATATGATGTTTTTTTTCTCTTTCCGATTGAAATAATCCGGCTCTTGTGTAATGGTAGAATTTATTTACTATCCAAAAGCAAAACTATCAGCAATTTATAGCATAACTTGTGAAACTTGCAAAAAGAGAATATGTCGGCCATTGTAGAATTGAATAGGCAATTGCAAATGAATCAATTTCAATTTACAAGAAAAAAGATAATTTAATGAATCGTATGGGCCATCAAAGATGCAATATTTAAACATTTTTTGTAGAAAATCTTGCAGAAATATGTTTGACTCATGCCACTTTGATTTTTGTGTCAAGTGAATTTCTGTTTTTACGTCAGTTTAAATCATCAACTCACTGATAATGGAAGCACTGCTTCTGAAATGCAAACTTATGAGTAATCCTCAATGAAGTGTATTATTTGTCGAAACAAAAATTACTCATTATAAAATACACGTTAAATTCTCCGAATTGTTAAAGCAAAAATAACGTCAGAATTCAATGGGATTTCATTATAGTCGTCGCTTTGTCAGGAAATTTTGTAGAACTTGAATTTCCTCTTTGCATTATTATAACATTTTCGGACGATATACTCATAATCAACATAAAAAAAACCCAAAACGGAATTGAATCGATCATTTTGGAAAATTCGATACCAGTGTAGCTAGCTTTCGATCGATAGACAATTGGTTTTATTGTTTTCATGCGAAAAACCCATATTCCGGTGCTTCAATTTTGCATACATATGATAAAAATGGATACATGAACATGGAATAAAAATTGTTTGTGTGCGTGACACTACGCATCGAAGTTCGAGACCCACAAAATTCGAGCTGTTATCGTAATTGTGCTTTGCATTTTTAATTGGATAACGAACGGAGGTGTGTATATGTTTTGATTTTCTCTGTTAAACGCAATTTTTGTGTGTGTGTGGAATTAATTAAAATATTTTAACAAAATCGAAAGCAATTGATTGAATTAGTTTCTTCGTTGTGATCACACAGTGGCATTTTGCGTGAGTAAAATGGAAGAAAAATGTCAGTTAGTCGTCAATGGTTTGTCTTTAGTTCCTTCCATTTTTTTCCGCATTGTGCACGTCAATAAAACAATTGGATTCATTCGAAAGCCAAACATGTTGTGGTTTTGTTGTGCAAAACAATCTACTGCGGTTATCATTCACTGAAATTGTGAATATTTTCAACCTTTGTTTATCTTTGGCTTTTCCAATGAAGTCACACATGAAACACAAATACGCAGGGAGAGAGAGAGAGAGAGAGAGAGAGAGAGAGAGAGAGAGACTTTGCAACAACCGTAAGAAAGACAGTAATGTCACGTATTCAAAGTCATCGTCAAAGAGAATTGATAAATAAACACCGGAATAAAATCAAATGGCGGTCACTTATGCAATGCTTCTGCTGATTACATTTTTTTCTACGCGTTCAATTTCATTTTTAATTCATGTTAGTCTTCTTTCTTTCTTTGCACGAATATTTGAATAAAATATACATATTTTCAGCTCGAACGGAAACATGCATTTGTTGAATGAAAAGTCGTGACATCTTGAGCTCATGTCATTTCATCTTATGTTTGCGAATATTTAAAGCATTGCTTGTTCAAAACAACCCGGGTGAACGCGATACGCTTTGATGAAAGCCTACAGTCGTTCGATGAGGCTTTCATAATTTTTATATACATTTTAAATACTGAACGCCTAGGCTTTCAATGCTACGAATGCACGAAAGAAGTGAGAATAGCAATGAAAGCCTAGGCGTTCAGTATTTATAATGTATATGAAAATTATGAAAGCCTCATCGAACGACTGTAGACTTTCATCAAAGCGTATCGCGTTCACCCGGGAATTCAAGGAAAATTCGAGCAACAACAACAGCAACAACGGCACATAAACAGATCGGAAGTAAACAGAAGCGGAACGATACAAACACGTAGACTTAGAACAGAGCAAAAAAGAAAATGTCAACACTTCAACTTTGTGTACACGAATTGCAGAATGGTAAATATTCACGTTATTCTAATTATACCAGCGAAGGCGAACGCATAAAAAAAAATGACAGCCGCAAATTAGCATTGAAGCGACTCTGATTAACACGTAAAATCGTACGATAATGCACTTTTGTTCTTATTTTAATCGGTTTAATTTTCCTAGGCCATTAGTAATCGGTACCATCACAACGTCTAAACAACACAGAGTTCAGCGATTCAATACATTGTGATCGAATGTTAATTGCAAATTGGATAAATCAAAACTAAAATTCTCAGTTGAACACAAAAAAACGTCGATAGTTCCGAAACGTTGAAAAAAAAATGGTTAAAATTAAGAGAAAAACTAAAACAATGATCAAGCTCAAAATGACTCGTAATTTGCACTAAACAAATATATTTCGAACTTTGCAATTGTCGAAACGCAGAGCGAGAGAGAGAGAGAGAAAGAGAGAGAGAATGAAGAAGAGGGAGAAAATGTTCAGACTAAAACGGCGAAAGCCTGTTGGTCGGTTGGGTTAAAGCTCAACGCACTCAAAAAAAACGTTACAAACGCGTGATTTTATTACGAATCGTGGAGTGGTGTAGCGACAAGTCCACCGATATATGCACACAATGTACAACCAGGACTGATCGACCCGCGCCAATCATCAAAACTAAATCGAATTGAAATCGAACACACGAACTCTCGATTGTATGAGAAATTGATATTACATATATATAAATATGAGTATACACTGTGTGTATCACACGCGTGCCGTTCCAGCGTTGACACAACATCGATGATGACGATGATGACAGCAACAGCAACAGCGGCAGCAACAGCAGCAAAAAAATACAGCAAATCGAATGAAATATCACTAACACATACGAACATATACATATCATTTCACGACGTTGTTTGATTCAAAGTAATTGACGCCATACACAAACTCACTCACTCATTTTCGTGTAAATGGCATCGATTTTATATACGATATGTGACCAATCGCACGTTCGCTTCGTTCGCTCGCGCGCGCATCGATCAGGACGGATCAATTCGTATGCTGATCACCGTCAATTCAACCGTATTTACGAACGGAATGTGTCCGAGTTCCGTCTTCCGCACTCATCGACGACTATTTACATTCTTCACACAGAGGAAGAATAAACAAAAAACTAAACAAAACTACTACGGAGCTCCTTTCGGTTCGATGGACTATTTGACCCACCCCAAAAATTTATTAATCCATATTTTTTGCTTAGAAAACTGATCACCTCAATGGAGACGGTTGCTTAACGACACTTTCAAAACTTTTATTCTTTCCCTGATTTTTCTCGTGAGACAAATGATGAGATGGACCAATTCTTAAAGAACATACTCACTAGCTAACTGTATATCAAATTAACTCAGAGAACACACTCAAACCGATACCATGCTAATTCGGACTTTGGCATTCAAATTCCAGAAAATTGATGCAAATTTAAACGTGAAATTTATCCGACACAAAGTCTAGCATTTCACGTATTCTCTTCAAAATATTATTCGCATGAAACAAACAAAGCCAACAAGAGAAGAAAACAGCAACGTATATTATTTGATTCGCATTGATTCATGTTTTAATGGAAATGGCCACTGTGTTATATAGCCACTCGTGTTGATGTCATACACTTAATTAATAATTGCTGAAACAAGGTGAACAATTTTTTTTTCATTCTGAGGTGTCAACAAATTTGTGATTTTTTTTGCTACAATTGTGCAAAAAAAATAAACACATGAAGAGAGAGCGAGAGAGAGAACACATCTAAATCACATTAGCGTTGATTTTTTGTGACATCTAAATGCTAGGTTTATATTTAAAAATTTCCAAAACCAAATATACGTTTTTGGATGGTTCAGCATCTCAACATTTTATTTCGTATGCAGTGGATATATCCCAGCATATCGACGACGCAATTCACTGTATAAGCGGCTTGCATTGATGTGCATAGCTACATCGACTACACACAACACTGCGCTCTCTGTTTGCATGTAATCGATGTAGCTGCATCATGCATTTTTATGGACTACATGTCATAAAGTCAAAATGTCCCAATCTCAGCTTACTGAGTTTCTATGCTCAGCATATATCCTTAGCTATCTGTCATTGACTGTGTAGCTGTGCGCATCAACGCACGCCGCTTATACAGTGACTTGCGTCGTCGATATGCTGGGATATATCCGCTGCATACGAAATGTTGAGATGCTGAACCATCTAAAAACGTACGTTTTTCCAAAACTCTTTGAATATCCCATTCGAAGTTGAAAAATGGGTTGACGTGACGAATTCGGGGTTTCACATGTATCCGCCGAATGACGATCAAATAATATTTGATCGCGTGATTTTTTCAAATGAAAGACTTCGAATTGTTTTAGTTGTGTTTCGTGAGATTTGTGAAACGGTTCTCGCACAACCAGTTTAATTAAAAGGGAAAGAGAGAAATGTGATGTAAAAATGGTGGTACAAGATATGATGACAATATCGGCCGTTGATTGACGTTGCGTATTTGAAATTACTGATAAATATCGATAAATTGTATTGAACTCTTGTATGGATTGTGGGACGATTTATATATAAATTTTACACGCTCCAATACTCACCTTTGCGCTTGACTTTAATTTCATCCATTGTGTGTATGTTTTGTATGGGGACAATCCCGGACGCAGTTGATTCCAATTTAACAATTATTTCGTTGCTGCTAATTATTATCGTTGACGTTTCGTTTTTTTGCGTTCAAGGTCTGATGGATTCGTTATCAAGCGGTTCGAATGCATTAAAAACACTTGACATGTACACCGTTAATCGCGGTTTGGACGAATTTGTTTTATTTTCACTTCGCTTCGGTTGTACCCATTCCCTTTTTAATTAAAAACTTTGTTTGATTAGATATGCAACCACTTGTTTAGAGAAAAAAAAGAGTTGCAATCGGACGAAATGACTGGATTTATCAACACTTTTGAAATGCTAAGCTTATCATTATATATTGGCAAATTCCACCGTCGGCTGGCACGCCGTTAGCAAATCGGGACTAAAATGCACTCGCTAAAATGGATAAATTTCAGCTACAATGTGGCATGATTTCAAATTATTTTGATATCCATAAACGATTTCACGCTGAAGAGCTCAGCGACATCCCCTAATGTTTATACAATACAAAAGACCTAAATATTTCTGATCGTTTGAAGGAACTACAACTATTTTGTTTTCATTGTATTGCACATTGAAGTTGAGTGTTCGAACGAGTTCTGATCGAAAATGCTGGTCTATTTTAGTGACTGATTTCAAGAGATAGGCGGGCACAAAAACAAACACACAATCAGTAATTGGATGAATAATAATTGAAAATCCGAAATTCAGACCTTTTTATTATTATTTATTTATTACTTGACTGAAATGTTATATGGAAAATTCGCGAGCGAGAGCGCGTGATTTGTTATGCGTATGTTTGATTGCTGTCTTTCTTAACTGAACACATGGTATTGACACATTCATTCTCTTTCGGTACTTTCAAATAGATCCGGTCTTACGTTCACACACGATTCGGTTATTATCGTTGTCGCACTCACACAATCCATACGAAAATTTCCATATCTATTTAACCTGATTCCATACGACACAGCAATCACAAAATAAAAACAACAAACGAATTCGTGTGTTCTCTTTTTTTATCGCACTTTAGCACTTAGGCTTGGTTCACGCAATTCATTTGTATTGAATGCAATTAAAAGGCGAACGAGCAAAAAATAAAAACAACAAATCAAATGAACACTTTGAACATGATTAAATGGTGTTGCTGTGCATTCTTTTTATTTCAGGCAATCATCTAGCAACTTCGGTAAAATGTTCGATTCCATTGGATTTCACCATAGTTTGGCCGTTGGTGTGCATACGTTTGGGATGAGTCTTCATTGATTTTGTGTCATGTTTAATGGGTATTTTTTCTTGGCGCTTTTTGCATTTTTACCTCGTTTATTTCGAATCATTTCGTTGTGCCGTACTTTACTCTCTCTCTCTCTCTCTCTCTCTCTCTCTCTCTCTCTCTCTCTCTC